AATTTTAGTATTGATTGGAATTTCATAGTTACCTATATACTCTTAAAATAAAGACTATATTAGTAAGTGATAATGTTACCAATGGTGAGGGTCTTGTGTTTCCAGGTTATTGGCATCTTTTTCAAGGAATTGAAGCAAAGCCCACACAGATCTGCAAAAATACTATGGAAACTTTATTTAAAACAAAGCAGTAGAAAATATCAGAATACACGAAGGAAACAGCAGGTCATGTGAGTAAAAGTACTCAGGAGCCCAGATTATTCTTCAGGGCTTCCTCTTACAGGGCTCAGAAGGAGCTGTTTGGTGACCTGGTATGTAGTGAGCTTTGTCCTCTGTTTTGATTTATAGATGAGGTTGCATAATCATTTTTTTTCCTCTGCTCATGTCTCTTCCCATAGTGCAACCGATTTTAGTCATATGCACACTCAGTTATGTAGAAGGAATGTGGTAGTAACTAGGGGATTCTCCCTCAAAGTTCATTTGAGGACATGGTTTTGCCTTGAATGCTCATTTAAAAGTAGTTCACGCCATATCATCCCAGGTTACTAAGCTGTTCCCTATTTTTGCCTGCCTTATTTATATAAATAAGTAATAAATGAACATATGAGGTGGCTTGATGGATAAGTTTGCTTGCCCTCAAGCTGATGGCCTGAGGTCAATTCTCAGTACCCACAGGGTAAAAGGAGAGAACATGGCTGCCTCTGTACTGTGGACACCCCTGCACATACATGCACATACATACATACATACATACATACATACATACACACACACACACACACACACACACACACGCACACTTATATTTTTCAAGTTAACTATCCAAAGGAGGTCACTAACCAGAATGTAGCATCAATCCTTGGTAATAGAACATTTGTAATATGAAAAATCTATTCGGTTAACCATGGTTGTTAAGAAAAATATTTGCAAGCACTAATAACTTAGTTGCTTCATTTATATTTAATTCCCTACATATTTTATATATTTTATTTTTGAATTATGTGTGTGCAGGGGAGTACCTTTGCATTTGTGACTAAAGGTATCCTTGGAGTCTAAGAGACAACATTAGATCCCTTGGAGCTGGAGTTACAGACAGCTGTGAGTCACCAGATATGGGTGCTGGGAACCAAACCTGGTCCTTTGGAAGAGCAGTACACAGTCATAACTGCTAAGCTATCTCTCTAGTCCCACATGTTTTATTTTTGCATAACCAAGAAACTTGTCTTTTCTTGGTTGACAAAACAAGGTTCAGTTAGAGGCTGGAAAGATAAGATAGAGAGTTAAGAGTATGTACTGTTTTTCCAGAGGTTGGTTCCCAGAACCCATGTCAGATGGTTCACACAACCATTTCCAGCTCCAGGGGATCTGATACCTTCTTCTGGATTCTGCAGGGACATCTGTGCTCATGTGTGCATTACAGGAGTGGGGGGATAAAATAAATATTTAAAAAGTTCAGTCAGATATATAGATAACTTTTAATACAATATAAAAGCTATTGATTGTCCTGAGACGTATACCTAATTCAGCAAAAAGGAACTGTTTTCTAATCTTATACATTGGCTTACGTTTGAACAGTTAAAGATAGTGCATTTCACTTAAGAAGGCCAGAGGTATAAAGACAGAAAGGTTTGGTATTCAAGAAATAAAAGTAGTTAATTGTTGTAGAGGCATTATTTTGAGCAGGGGGAGAACTAATATCTCTTGCTGTCAGTACTTACTGATGGATATGAATGGAGCAAAAATAGGCACAGAACATTAAAAAAAAATTGAAGTAGCTTAGAGAAGGGATGATAGACTTAAAGTAGGGCAGTATCTATGGAAATGGAAAAGGCACCTTACCAAGTACACAATATTTAATAGCCATTTAGATTAATTTATTCAAAAATTTCTTGAGTGGCTGCTCTGTAATTCCAGGAACAAATTCTATGAACAAAAAATGCTCTACCTTCACAGAGGTTTAGCCCTATGGGACCATCAGACACTTAGACTTCAGGGTAGTACATGTGTTATGAAGGAGAGCCATATGTACCCTGAGAGTATGTGCACTGACTGCTTGATCTCAGAAAGTGAGTCAGGGGAGAGAAGTGTGTTTAAAACAAAGCAAAACTGACCTGCATTGTTTTGGAGATGAGAGAGATTCATTGTGGCTATTGAAGAGGGAAGGAGAGACTTGGAAGAAAGGAGCTAAACCATCCAGAGCCTGGAATTCCTAATGAAAGCCTAGACAGAAGGTACTATGGTTTGATTTGAAGCAAATCACATGTTAGATGAATTAGTTTAATTAACAAAGTTTTAGGCTGGAGAGATGGTTCAGCTATTAAAGGCTAGGCTAACAGCTAGAAATATAGACGGTTTTAGTTTGACTACCTTATATACCATCCTAGAACCTTCATCTAGTAGCTGATGGAAGCAGAAGCAGACACCCACAACTAAACACTGAGCTGAATTCCTGGAATTCAGTTGTAGAGAGGGAGGAGTGATGAGAAAAGGGGTCAAGACCAGGCTGGTGGAACCCACAGAAACAGCTGACCTGAACAAGGGGGAGCTTATGGACCCCAGACTGATAGCTAGGAGACCAGCATAGGACTGATCCAGACCCCCTAAACGAGGGTGTCAGTGAGGAGGCCTCGGCAATCTATGGGGCCTCTTGTAGTAGATCAGTATTTATCCCTAGCATACAAATGGACTTTGGGATCCCATTCCACATAGAGGGATGGATACTCTCTCAGCCTAGACACATGGGAGAGGACCTAGGCCCTACTCCGAATGATATGACAGACTTTGAAGATCCCCCCCCCCCCATGGAAGGCCTCACCCTCCCTGGGGAGCAAAAAGGGGCTGGGCAGGAGGTTAGTGGGGGGCAGTGGAGGAGGGGAGGGAGAGGGAACTGGGATTGATACGTAAAACAAGCTTGTTTCTAATTTTTTTTTTAAAGGTTTTAGTTCAAAGTAAAAACTTGAGCAAAGTGCAGAGAAAATTGCTCAGAGAAGCTTAACATATGTAAAGGCAGGGAATGCCCTTGGATCTGTCAGAGTCAGGCATGGTCATTAATTAAACAGTTGCTACATGGCATGCTGTTTTTCCTTTTCTCTTTTGTGTGCTTCCTAGTTCTTTGTGTGCATTGGCTGTTGTTTCCCTAACTATAAAACTAACCAAACCCTCACCAGTTTTCCTCAATCACTGGATCCTCTGGAGAGATTCTGAGTGACTTCTTAAATCAGTTATCTACTGTTGGTCTACTCAGCCATAACTAGGAGGGGAGGGCACCATATAGCATTAACAATTAACTGCTACAAAGCCATACCCTTTCCATAGTTAAGACATGGAGTAAGTTGTATGATGGGTAGACTTCTCAGGAAGAACTTTAGACAGTCATTCAGACTGCAAACTGAAGAATGGCAAGCAGAGAGAAGAGTCAGGGGGCCCCATAAAGAAAGTACAGTAATCCGGGTGCTAGGTAATGTTGGCCTGAGTTAAAATGTTGAGTAAGAGGAAAATGGGTTTGTGGTAGATAATGTTTGAGTCTCCAGAACTGCATAGGTTGGATGTGGGACAGTAAACAGTCAGGAATAATGTGCTGTTCCTGGCTTGATTACTACAGAGATAATGAAAGCAGTTTCTGAGCTGAAAGAACATAGGAGAAACAGATTTGGTGCGAGTTGAGGGAAATGGTTATTTTTGTACATGTAATTTGAAGTAGCTTTGAGATATCTGAGTTTTCTAGTAGACTCTTGCATGTGTGCATCTGGAGTAGAAGAAAGACTTAATAGTAAACAGATATTTGAAACTCTTGAGTTTTTGGTAGTAATGGAAGCTCTGTGGATAGATGAAGTTGCCCTGGGAATGTATAACAGATGAGGGCCAAGATAGCCCTCAAGGAAATCCTATTTGAAGGCCCATGAAAAAACATGGCTACAAAGTATAGGAACAGAGAGGAATGAGAAAAATCAGTAGTTTACAGTATTCTTAGGAAGCCAAATAAAAGTATTCTAGGCAGAAGACTGACTGGCCTTCTTTTGTCAGGTCTGGAAACAAAATTGGGAGATATAATTTATGAAGGCAGTATAAAGCTATCAGATCCTCTTAAGTACTTTTAAAGGAAGGGTAAAATAGAAGTAAGCTGCCTGCTTCTGAGATTTGAGCAATTTTATGAAAAACCTAAGGAGAGATTTAAAAGTATACCCTGTAGACCACTGAATATTAACATTCTTGATGACTGTCCAGAGGGTTCTTGATCTTATGTTTTCTGTCATGCTTCTTATCCAACAGCCATTGTAGTTGTACTAAATGTTGCTGTTGGGTGTTAGAGGATATATCACCAAAAAAGACCCTTGTTAAACAGGTGCAATATGTGCTAATAATTTACTGTCTGGCTTTCCATTGTAGAAATGGTTTCTGGGACATATTTAATTATAGTTATTTGCTTACTTTTGTTCTTTTGTGTGTATGGGCGTGGTATATGTGTTTGTGGAGATCAGAGGTCAGCCCCAGGTGTTCCTTGGGAGCTAGCCACTGTATTTTGAGACATCATCTTGCGGGGGTGTGGGGCTTACTGATATAGTTAAGCTTGATGGCCAGTGAGCCTGGGTATCCTCCTATGCCCATCTTCCCAACACTGGACATGGTGCTCCACTTAACCCAGCTTTTTATGTGGGTGCTAGGGCTTGAATTCAGGCCCTCATATTTATGTGCTAAGGTCTTTACTGGCTATCTCATCTCCCTACCCCCTTTTGGTTTTGTTTTTTGTTAACTAAGAATGCATTAATACTAGTGACTTAAGGATCAGAGAAACTGTTCATCATAATAAAAAGAACCAGTCAGTATTTTCTTACATGTAACATGTACTGAACAATGCTCTTTGGTGGTTTTGTTTTTATGATGCACTCTTCTTAATGATGATGACCTAGCAGTCTGTGTTCCTATGGTGAATAGAGTAAGGACTTAGATGTTAATACTACACAAACTCATTTTCTTATATCACGTTTTCTTTTATTTTGTAGCCTTGGTGAATATTTGGATGAAGCCATTAAACTAATTGCTTGTCATCATGAGCAGAAGCAAGCGGGACAACAATTTTTATAGTGTAGAGATTGGAGATTCTACATTCACAGTCCTAAAACGGTATCAGAATTTAAAACCTATAGGTTCAGGAGCTCAAGGAATAGTGTGGTAAGTTTTTATTTCAAAATAAGGCAAACAGTCTTTAACTGCTGCCCTTTCTTCTCTTTTTAATATAAATCTTTTGGTAAGTAATCAAGTTTACTCAAAAAAAAAAAAGCTGTATAAACAAAAGCTATACTGTAGTAATTTTTTCTCAGGGATTAGCGGCGTTTTTTATTATCCCTAAACTGTAACTATTAACCAACAATGCTGTCTTGTAATATGAACTGTGATTAAATACTTACTTGGTCAGAGTCATATAGAGACGTATACTTATATCAGGAAAAAGGAAGTGGCAGACTTGTTCATTCCGTAAGTGCATCTATTCCCATTTCTGACTAGTGAGATGTCTCACTTAATCTTCACTTTCATTCTGTGGTGAAACAGAAGTTTCATAGATCTTACTACTTCACACTGGGGAGTAAAGTCAGCTAACACATCTCACTATGTTTCAAAACTTACGTATCTTTAAAGTTGATTTACAAGCTTACTTGTACAAAAAAGCCCAGGTTTTATAGATGAGCATTATTCTTTATAAATTGAAGTAGATAGCAGTTCTTGGGATAGTTCTACTACTGATTCAGAATCACTAAGTTAGCATTATAATTTAGTGTTTGGGGAAATGCTAAGCCATACCCAAGGATAATTACATCTTTATTACTACTTAAACAAAATTTGTTTAAAGTGTGTTAGAAAAGAAATTGGGAGTGTTTATGATCCAGCATGTTTATAAGGTTCTAGAAAAGCTCTTGCTTATGTCCACAAATACATGTACATAAGGCTGTTCTTTGAAGCGTTATTTCTAATAGCAAAAGTTGAAACAGCATCCGGTCTGGCAGCAGGAGAATATGTGATACATTCGAACAGCAATATACTGTGCAACATTTAAAGTGAACTGGAGCTGTATATGTCACCTGGATACCATCTGAAGTATAGACCTGAGTATTAAAGCAATACACAAAAATATACTATATTGTCTTATTTCTATGTAATGTAAAATATGCAAAGCAGTTCCATATACTTAGGATTGAGTACATATGTAGAAAAGATAAAAGCTTACCTCTGAGAACAGAAGAGAAAGTCTTTACCTGTAGTATGTTTCTCTTTTTAAAAAAATCAGAACAATTATGGTAAAATATTAAAATTTAACAGAATTATATAATAGAAACACTGGTTTTTATTCTTTTCTCAGGTCCTCAGATCTAGCATTCATACTTATCAATACTTTGAGTTTTTAGTTCCTCCTCCAAAACAAAATGTTAAAGGATTTGTTTTTTAGTCTTTTGTATACATCCTCTAGTATAGCTTCCTTTCTGTACTTGCTGTCTTGTGTCCTAAAGGATTAAAACACTACAGTATTCTTTGGTAAATACATTGTAAAAAAATTTGGATGGATGGATGGATGGATGGATGGATGGATGGATGGATGGATGGATGGGGTGTCTTATGTGTGTTGCCTGCTTATATATCTGTGTGCTATTTGGGTACCTACGGAGGCCAGAAGAGGACATTGGATCCCTCGAACTGGAGTTGTAGATGGTTGTGATCTGCCATATGGGTTCTGGGAATCAAACCTGTGTCCTATGGGAGAGCAGCTTGTGTCCTTAACTACTGAGTCATCTTTCCAGCCCCAAAATTCTCAGTAAATATTTTAAGTAGAAGTCATGCTCATGTAGCCTGTCTTTCTTGATAGAGCTGCAAGGTGAAAGAGTCATTTAGACTTCAGACTAATACTGGGAATTGGCATATCAATAGCACAGTAGGTGTAAAGAAAGGAACCTGCCATTAAGCCTGACTGCCTGAGTTCATTCAATCTCCAGGATTCATATGGTGGATCCTGGAGATTCATACAAGTCGTCTTCTGTCTTCCACATGACACCCTTACCCACCCCTAAACATATACATACAAAATGGATACATTTTTTAAATGCAATTTAAAAAGTAAGATAAAAAGAACTTATGCACACGTGCCCACCTGTCCACCTGTGCTTATTGATCTTGAGTGACACAGTCTTGGTGAAAAAAGGAAGGAGTCTATGTGATTGCTCTATAAGTTTGATTTTAGAACTTTGTGCCTAACTTTTTTTTATTATTTCTTATTACAGTGCAGCTTATGATGCTATTCTTGAAAGAAATGTTGCAATCAAGAAGCTCAGCCGGCCATTTCAGAATCAGACTCATGCTAAGCGAGCCTACCGAGAACTAGTTCTTATGAAATGTGTTAATCACAAAAATGTAAGTGAATATTTCATGTTTCTTCACTGTAAGTGAAATCAAGATTTATTCATGAATACATGCCTGTCAAAGGCTTTTTTATTTTTTAATATTAGGAGATTTAAATTACTTCTCTAGATTGAAACATTTAAAATCTACAGACTGATCTTCCTTCCACCCCCTCCCCTTACCCCCATTAGTAAGTAGTACCAAAAGGGGAAAAAATGAGTTGTGAAATTTAGATTGGGTAGTTTCCTGGCATTTAATTTATAGAAAGAATTTTAAGGAAATGTTTGAAAATCATTTTATTGGGCTGGAGATTGGCTCAGCAGTTAAGTGCACTGACTTCTCTTCCAGAGGTCCTGAGTTCAATTCTCAGCAACCACATGGTGGTTCACAACCTTCTGTAATGGGATCTGGTGCCCTCTTCTGCTGTGCATGGAGACAAGTCACTCATATACATAAATATTTTTTTTAAAAATCATTTTATTCAGAATTTTTCTCATCTTAGTTTTGTTGTTGCATGTAAAGCTGGCATTTCAGAAAACTGTACAGAAATGTACATTCCCATTGTACTTGGACATTGAAACTTAACACAAAATTCAAGATACTTCTCTGCACCCAATTCTGACTTCTTTTAAGTGGTATCAATACTTTTACTCAGATAACCACTGATAATAATAGTTGAACTAAAATTTGGAAATATTTACAGAGAACAAGGAAAACATTTCTAACTTGAAAATAAAGTTTTCATTCAATTTGAAAATGAACAGATTTTTGTTTGTTTGTTTGTTTTTCATGACAAAAGAGGGCATCAGATCCCATTATAGATGGTTTCTGAGCCACTATGTGGTTTCTGGGAATTGAGCTCAGGACCTCTGAAAGAGAAATCAGACAGTACTCTTAACTGCTGAGACATCTCTGCAGCCCCAGTTAGATGTTTTTTTGTTTTGTTTTGTTTTGAGACAAGGTTTCACTGTAGGTTTTGGAGTAAACTCTCTTTGAAGACCAGGCTGGCCTCGAACTCACAGAGATCCCCTCTCTCTGCTTCTGGAGTGCTGGGATTAAAGGCATGCGCCACCACCATCTGGCTGCAGTTAGATGTTTGCATTAAGCATCTAATGCATAGTTTGCATTAAGCATATTGATATGTTTATGATTATCTTAATGGGACAGTTTCCAAACTGGGAGGACATAAACAACTCGAGAATTGCAGAAAGGACAGTTTTATGAACCACTAAACTGAAAAGTGCTGGCCAGTGACATGTTATTCCAAAGGAATTTATAAAATATTAGTTCCATACTTTCTGGTGTAGAAAATATAATTCATCACATTTTGAGAGCTAGCCACAAATAGAACCTTTGTATATTAAAGTTACAGATTAATTACCAATGTGAAATGTATAGATGTTAAGGATTAGGCTTATTATTTGGGAAGTTTATGTGTAGTTTTGAAGGCAGTGAGACATGATGAGAGTTAAATACCACAAAGCAGTAATAATTTAATTGTCAGATAGTAAAGAGCAGACAGTACATGTTGATATCTCAGGGAGATTTCTCTGAGCTTCAATGAACTGAGAAGTCTTAAAGAGCAGAGAAGTAGACTTTAACTGACTCTTAAAAATGGGGTGAAAGTTAGATTGTGGGAAAGGGACTGACAGAGAAAGAGTGGTCATTATCAAGGAAGAAATTGTAGTTTCTTGTTGCAAGTGGGAGCCAGACATGGTGCTTCTCAGAGTTCTGCTTGTGGCCCTACCTCTGCTAGAGCTGCTCATACCCCTTCTAATCTCTGGACCTAGTTTAAAATCTTTTATGGCTGTTTTAAGTGTTGCCTCAGTTTTTCTTTGTTGAATTCAAATACTCCTTCCCCCACCTTGGGTGACAACAAAGATGTTCCATCTGCTAAATGGAGAGTATGGGAAGTATGTCTTATATGCTTAGCCACCTAAAGTGACCCAGACTGGGTGCTTAATGTAATCTGTTTATTGAATGAATATAAAATTAATATGGTAAAAACCATGAATGGCAACTCCACTCTGCCACCCCTGGGATATGATGGATTTTTTTATAACGTTTTATCTTTTCAGCACTTTGCTGTTCTGCACAGATCATCTTGAAATAATGTTTCCCTAATGTTTTCAGGGTTTTTATAATCTTTAGTTTCTCTTTTTATCTGGTCATTCTGATGAGACACTTAGCACACCAATGTCTGATGGATTCCTCTAATAGCTGTTGAGGCTTGTCTCTCTGTACTGCAGATATTAAACCACTTGACTCACTGTCTAACAAGTAATTGTCAAAGGGCTGATAGCAAGTCACATTGCATCTTGTTGATTTGGGAGAATTAAGAATAGTACTTCCAGTCATCGTCACTGCTCAGAGTCATCTGACACAAGCAACCTGTGTGCCGGGCCGATGGACGGAGTTCAGTGGCAGGATCCGACACACTGAGGCCCGGTGACAGCTCTGCCTCCAACTGCTGGCCTGAAACTGCCGAAGCCCAGGTAACAGTGACACCTCCATCCACGAGAAGAGGACCGTCATCAGAGTATTGGATCTGTTTGCATCTATCAGAAAAGAACCTTGGTCCTACATCCACCAGGAGAGCAAGAAACTCTTGCTACACCCACCAGAAGAAAGGATGAGAACAGGACAAGGTAAAAGCACATCCAACAATAGAAAACCCAAAATGACACCACCGGAGACTAGGAACCATACACCAGCAATACCTGAACATCACGATGCAGATGAACCAGAAGAGAATGACTTTAAAAGCATCTTCATGAAAATGATAGAGGACCTCAAAGAGGACAAGAGAAAATCCCTTAAAAAAATGGAAGAAAAAAAAACCCAAAAAATACAAGATATCAACAAATCTCTCAAGGAAACGGTTCAAGACCTAAAAACTGAAATAGAGACAATAAAGAAAGCATAATCTGAGGGAATGCTGGAAATAGAAAAGCTGGGTAAACGATCAGGAATACAGATGTAAGCATAACCAACAGAATACAAGAGATGGAAGAGAGAATCTCAGGAGTTAAAGACACACTAGTGGAAACAGATTCATCAACCAAAGAAAATCTTAAGTCCAACAAATCCCTATCACAAAATATCCAGGAAATATGGGATACCATGAAAAGACCAAACCTAAGAATAATAGGTATAGAAGAAGGTGAAGAAATACAGCTCAAAGGCACAGAAAACATATTTAACAAAATCATAGAAGAAAACTTTCCCAACCTAAAGAAAGACATGCCAATGAAAATACAAGAAGCCTACAGAACACCAAATAGACTCAACCAAAAAAAAAAAAAAGTCTCCTCGCCACATAATAATCAAAACACCAAAAATAAAAAACAAAGAGAAAATATTAAGAGCAGCAAAGGGAAAAGGTCAAGTAACCTATAAAGGCAAACCTATCAGAATCACACCTGACTTTTCCATGAAAACTCTGAAAGACAGAAGGTCCTGGGTAGATATTCTACCTACATTAAGAGACTATGGATGCCAGCCCAAACTATTATACCCAGCAAAGCTTTCAATCAATATAGATGGAGAAAATAAGATATTCCATGAA